AAAAAAAAAAAAAAAAAAAAAAAAAAACCCAGCTGGATACAGAATCTTGAGTAGATGTGAGAGTGCCCCATTGGTTGCAAGTGTCAGCAAACACGGCTGTACGAAAAAAAAAAAGAAGGAAAAGCAGCAACAACTCTTTGGACGTAAAAGCAGCTGGATACAGAATCTTGAGTACATGTGAGAGTGCCCTGTTGGTTGCAAGTGTCAGCTGTCCGTGGAACCTGCCTTGTTGGCAGGGCACTAAACTAAACGTAGAAGGAAAAAATGTCCGTGGAACCTGCCTTGTTGGCAGGGCACTAAAACTAACTTAGAAGAAAAAAATAAAAAACACAAAAAACAAAAAATGAAACTATGGATGATTCTGGGCAGATGCATTCCTGGAGCGAGGTCCCAGTACTGATGTATGTGGATTAGTGTTTAAGGTGTGTGACTGTCAGGCATTGTGGATTTGGCCGGAAATCAGCGGTAGCCTGTTTTTGTGAATTAAGCCCGGGAAAAGGATGTCTTTTTTTGCTCTCCCATTGGTAGGTTTTTCTTTCGTTTTTGCTGTGGGGTCCTGTGGCGGTCCCAAAGGTGCGTGAAATAGAGACCAATTTTTTAGGTTCATGAAATCATGCACGTTTCATTCACGGCAAAGGCAAAGACAAATGGCTTCATCGTTGGAAATTGATTGTGGTTTGGGAGGGTTCGATCAGTGAATCATACCCTGACATCTGACACCCCGCCTGGAGCAGACACCATCTGTGAGAAGAGCACTTACTTTTCTTTTTTTGGCAGTTTTTTCTTCATTCGTTTGGTCATGAAATGTTTTTCTGCATTTATTTTCCCCATTTCACATTGCCACCCACCTGTCCCCCACCAGTCCCACACCCGTCTCACTAGTAGACATACATGGCTAGTGGGATCTCGCACCTGGAGGCACTACTGTGAGCACACTTCGTGGCTTTCCCCGATGTCCTTCCAACTCTGCAGCTTCTTCTTTTTTCTTTTTTTTTTTTTTTTTTTTTTTTTTTTTTTCCCCTCTGATTGGGCCCACAAGGCCCAAATGTTTTGTTGTCGCCAACCCTCGCCCGGCCCCCCGAACTTTGCGGTTGAGGTCGTTTTCCCTAATGCGACTACAGCTTGTAAAGGTAGTGGTGGCTTAAAGTCTTAAACCACCAGTACACCCGCACCTAAAATCCCGAAGCTACCTGTCCCCTGCGCGCGGCTATTTTCTGAGCCTTCTGCGTGAGGGTACCTGCAGTGGGGATTTGGGAAGTGGCACCGGTTCCGGCGGTCTACCTGAAGGGGGGGGGGGGGAAGAAGAAAGGAAAAAACATGCCAGAGACCAATGATGTCGTGGAAGGACGTCATGGAGGCNGATGTCGTGGAAGGACGTCATGGAGGCCATACTCAAATGATAACTTCCCAGAATGCATCTGACCACGATTGTGGGGAGAGGGAGGGCAGTGCATAGGGGGGGGGGGGGAAGAAGAAAGGAAAAAACATGCCAGAGACCAATGATGTCGTGGAAGGACGTCATGGAGGCCATACTCAAATGATAACTTCCCAGAATGCATCTGACCACGATTGTGGGGAGAGGGAGGGCAGTGCATATTCCTCTTGCTCAAAACGCTCTCCCTGAGGGCATACTCACACTAGCCCCGTTGAAATGCATCCAACCACTTTCATGGCCAAAGCTTTGTTGGCTTTTTTTTTTTTTGTTTCTTTTTTTGTGTCTGACAGTCGTGCTCCCCTTGTTCTTTGTTCTGCCGAAGGGCCCTCACTGAGGGCAGACTCACACGGAGTACTCCAAAAAGTGTATCCAACTGCAATCACGACCAAAGCTTTTTTTTTTTTTTTTTTTTTGTTGTTGTTGTTGTTGTTGAAACGGGGCCCTTGTGGGGCTTCTCATTAAAGCTCAAAAAGAGGAGGCCGGGGACCTCACAATTCAACCTGGAAAGTAGGAATGGGGAATATCTAGGCACAGAAATAGCCAAATCAAGACTGCTGTCCTGAAACCCCAATCCTAGTAAACAACTTGCACAAGCCTTAAAAGCCAAACAACTCATAAAATGAAGTCCACCTCCTAACTAGACTATCGCCTAAAGTGGTACTGTCTAAGACAGCATTAGGATCCAAAAGGGATCCCATACTCCACCCCGTACTCCCTCCACC